TCCCATACTGTCTCAAGCCTTTGATAGCACGCATACTTCCGCCTCGCTTAAAAGGCTCCTACAAATCAGACTGCACAAACTTGATGGGACACTAACTTAAGGCTAAAGATCTCGAGTAATTCTCATGGTCAAACCTTTGCTTCATGCACCACGTCTACTGCTAGATAATTAGCTCTAATCTCTGCCGCATCTATCGTGCTTGCATCCAGTGTTGAGTCTATGACTTCCTATGCCCTAGTTTCTTGTCTGCCGTCCTACAAATGTTGTGGTTCTACTTGTTTTGACTAATTTCAACGTAGAACCGTGACTTTTGTGGGTTGGCACACAAGAGAATAGGGCATAGGAAGTCATACACTCAGCACTATGGATACAAGCACGATAGGTGCGGCAGAGACTAGAGCGAATTGTCTAACAGTAGAATTGTTTAATCATAGACGTGGTCCATTAAGTAAAGGCGTGAAAATGAGAATTACTCGAGATCTTTAACCTCAAGTTAGTCTCCCATCAAGCTTGAGAATCCTGATTTGTAGGAGCTTTCTCAGCGAGGTGGGAGTATGCGTGCTATCAAAGGCTTGAGACAGCTTGGGAAATAACGCTTCGAACAGTACAGAAAGGGTGGCAGGGGTTGAGTAAAATATCTGAACCTGGAAAGTGGGGGATGGATTCTACGGGGTAAGAGGGTGACTCTGATAAGACCTATGGGAAGAGAATTGTTGAATAATATGGCAAACTCTGATCAACCTTGCCAGCATGGGGTGCGGAGAGTTCTCATGAAATCCGCTCAAAAGAGCGCACCATACCACATTTAAATAAAAATTGTGATAATGAATAGTTGAAAAGAGGGTATAAGATTGGTGAATGCCCAAGGCAGGAAAGATGCCACAATTGGTAAAAGGATCGGCTTCACTTGTCTCTTTGAGTTGTAGTGTGATGCTAAGAATGGCAAGGTTCACTGAAGACGCAGGTGAAACGCCTGGAAATGTACCATGTCCACGGCCCGACTGGAAATTATTAAGCATATTATGGACTCGGGACTTTGCGGTGCTCCTTTGTCTCCCTATCAATATGACCAAGTTGTGAAAACAAGGTGAAACAGCTTAAGCTCGATTAGAGGAGTCTTTGACCATACAAAAGGCCACACCATCTTGCCCTTCATACCTTCGGAAAAAAGAAATTAATCTGGTCGGTCAGATGCAGTTAAAGTGCAGCCATATTAGTCCATCATCGCCCACTTTGTCAGACATCGTAATTTCTCGATACCATGAACTACACAAGGGTAGTTTAAATATAGGCCATACCAATAACGTAAGAGATGAGGTTCATGCCTGGGCAAGTCCAACCAAGAAAAGTAGCTAGACCCTTAGCAGTCGAACGTAGGTAGCGAGGCACGACGATACACTTATAAAGCCTACTCACGAAAATAGATGGACGGAGAATGTTTCCGTGACTGATACCCGAGTGACTAATGTGACACCTACATAGGCAAGTTTTAATGCCAAGCTTACTACGTGGAAAAATATCTCGGCCGACCGAAAAAGTCCAATGCCGGCACGTACGACCTATAAGCGAATCAGCCTATTAAGGGGCTAATATTTATTTTTCTCAAAATTATATTACATACACTATCCAGTTCATGCACGTTTAGCCGAATAAGAAAAATTGGACTTAACCATGCGACACAAAATCCTATGGTACCGCAGTGTCTCGGATATTCAATAAGTACAGATAAACAAAAATGCCAATTAATCCATTAAAACTCTATTAAAGTAAAGGGATCAAGACACATATTAGATGATGACAAAGTTTAATCGGAGAAAGTACGTACAATGTAGAAGCAACCTAAGAAATTTTGTAATCAATGAGGTCATGAAATTTTCAAAGACAGAAGTATAAATGTACAGATATTCCGGGATTTGGCTTTAAGAATTATCAAGAACATTCAGTGAAAAAGTGGAAAATACGATCTTGTGCACATCCACTTAAAGTTCGTCATGCTTTTCGGGCTCCTTGTCTTCAGTCTAAAAGAGAAAGATAAATTAGACGTGAAAAAATAAAATCAACTAACCTTCTCAGATATTTTCCCCTCAATATCTTTCTCTTCTTCTTCCTTAATTTTGTCCTCGGCGTGCTTCTTAGAATCTTCTTCTTCCTTTAGCCTCTTGATTTCTTCCTCGCCTTTTAGACGCGATCTCCAAAGCATTTCACCCTCTTGTTTAGCAATTTCCACATCATCAGTTATGAGGACGTTATCAAAGATGGTCCCAGATTTAACTTGCCATAAATCAAAACCAACAGCAGCAATATCGTCATATTTGTATAGCAATGGATCAGGTTTATAATTAGGATTTGTTTTCTTTGGCTGTACCCAGGGCCCAGAGTACTTAGGATTTGGAATCTTTTTCGGCATCCATTCACCTTTGAAATCTGGGTTATCTATTTGCGGAGGTTCCCATTCTCCATCCATCTCATCGTCCCAATCGTCAGGCTTCTTAGCTTTGGGATCAGGAATAGTCTTTGGCTTATCCCAATCTTCCGGCTTTTTGTCCTCAGGATCATCCATATCGGGTTCATTAACCCAGTCGTCTGGCTTCTTAACGCTTTCATCCTAAAAAATAAAATATAAAATGCCACATTACTTCAATCATTTTCGGAGGCAGCATGTCCCAATCATCTTCAAGATTTCCTTTTCTTTCAGATACATTGTCAATCAAGACTTCGTAGGTATTGTCGGGACGCACTATCAAGGTGTATAAATGAGTCAATTCATCGTCTTTGCATCGTATCTCATGCTTTATAAGATTGTTCTTCCCAGCATAATTAAATATGACATGGACCTTCTTCGTCGACAGGCCACAGATGTCAGGACCAAACATTATTTTATATGGAGTCTCTCCATGAAATTGAGTTTGGTCGAAATCTGAGCCAAGCAACTTAATATAACCGCCTCCACAGTCAATATTCTGCTCATGCTTTACAGTAAATTGGATGACGATTGTCTTGCCGAGGTTGCTGAAAGGCTTCTCGAATTTCCGGGAAAGACCATAGAATTTGGCATCCTGCGAAGTTTTGACACCCATATCCTCCTTTGGATCAACAGGGGAATTTCCTGCTGACAAAACAAATTTCCCTTGGTCGGAGCCCTTGTAGGTTGAGTGAACCCAATGATCGAGAGAGGATACTAAA